GATGGCAATAATGATAATGATGATCATACCTGAATATTCAAAGGTGGATTCTTTAGGATTGTCATATATATTGACTGACTGGTCATCAACTGCAACAGTAAAGACAAAGACATGCATCATAGTCATATCCACATAACTTTTTGTGCTATCTACCAATCAGAGTACACATACTATCCACCAATCAGAGTACACATACTATCCACCAATCAGAGTACACATATTATCAACCAATCAGAGTGCACATACTATCAACCAATCAGAGTACACATACTATCAACCAATCAAAGTACACATACTACCAACCAATCAGAACATATATACTATAATTGTACTTACAATTTGGTTTAGTAGAAGGATCAGGTACAGAGACTAACAGTCTTATTGTATGTTGATGACTATCAAGTGTTTGGTAAAGTTTAGAATCAGAAAATAGTACATGTTCCTCAGTTCCTGAACTCTCTACAAACATCTAAAATGAACAAAATCATTATTTAATCAATTAAATGTCTTGGATGTTACTTGGATTTCTTGAATTAATGATTGACATACATTAATAAGCGGGATCCCTATTGAATATAAAGAGATACAGGGTTCCTATGGAATGTGAGATATATTCCTAGATATGTGGGATTGCTGTGCAAGGTGAAATGCATTCCTAGATATGTGGGATTGCTGTGGAATGTTAGATGAATTACTAGATATGTAGGATTCCTGTGGAAAAGATATGTGTAATTGCTGTGCAAGGTGAGATGTATTCCTAGAAATGTAGGATTCCTGTGTAAAGTGAGATGTATTCCTAGATATGTGGGATTTCTGTGGAACGTGAGATGCTCTCCTAGATGTGTGGGATTCCTGTGGATGTGAGATGCACTCCTAGATGTGTGGGATTCCTGTGGAATGTGAGATGCATTCCTAGATATGTGGGATTCCTGTAGAATGTGAGATGTATTCCTAGATATGTGGGATTGCTGTGGAATGCGAGATGCACTCCTAGATATGTGGGATTGCTGTGCAAAGTAAGATGCATTCCTAGATAAGTGGGATTGCTATGCAAAGTGAGATGCATTCCTAGAAATGAAGGATTCCTGTCGAAAAGATATGTGGGATTGCTGCGCAAAGTGAGATGCATTCCCAGATATGTGTGATTCCTGTATATGCCAATTTTAACACTTAAATGTTTATAAATGTATGTAACTGATGAACGGTGTTTGCGAACATGAGATGAAAATTTCGCGAACAGATTGCAAACAAAGTGCGAACAGAATGCATTCAGTGTTCGCGTTTTGTTCACGAAATGCGCGTGAACAAAGTTACGTGTGATTCTAGGCGGTACTGTAGGACAAGCAGTGAGACTTACCTTTGCTGACTTAAAGTATCCCAGGTCTCTGAGTTGTTTATTAGGGTTTTCTAGTGGCTTCAGTTCACTTTGYGATTCCATGATTATTCTCATCTTTTCGGCTGACATGCCAAGTTTCTAGACAAAAAGAAATATAACCATTCTCTACTCAAACTTATTAAATATCAACATTTTTATGCTTATTTCAAATGGTCAAAGATAATACTTCCTGGAAAACACATAGTCATGGTTTACTAGTGGAATAAAACACTTAAAAATTGATGTAGGAGAGCATGAAAACGACCTCTACCTACTGGAWCCTCATCTGAATACAATCTTAACCTACAGCCTTTGAGTTCTTCAATGTTTGCATGCTTTACGTCCCCAATAAACCATGGCAGTCCATCCTGCATCTCACAAATCTTTAACCACGAGGAGATACTGTAAAAGAGGAACTTGCTTACCTCTGAAACATGTTCTTTGAGGACCTTAATTGTGTCATCTAAGTAAACACGTACATTAACAGGAGGACAGACTTCTTCTTTATCAAGATCGACTTTGTGTATTCTTAGAGTTGTCCCTACAAACACAATGTTATGTTTACCAATTAACTGATGTTCAAGATGAAAGAAAACAGTGCTAAATAAAGTTTTTGAAGTTCTCTAAATGTTTACTTGTATACAAAAGWATCAATAAATGACTTTCAAATATGTGGGTACTAAATGACCAACAATATCAGAGGACTACATTACAGTTTTCATTATTCAATGTTTTTGAAGTAACTGTATACAAGATACGATAAATATGATATATAATTCAATTTTTTTGCAGCTAAATAACTGTAATTACCTCCWGTCTTGTAGATGGGGAATACTTCATGTGGTTCTCGAGTTTCCAACATGAGTTCAAAAGTGTATGAGGACTTGACTCCGCCCAGYAGCACACCCATTGGCGTGTCCTCKTCTCCCTCATATGACTTCTCTATTGTATCATAGTATTCATCATACTTGACCAAACGGCATAAATCCTTGGTGTATTTAATCTCAACTGGTAAAAGCTGTGAAGAAATGAGTAGTAATAAGTGCATTTATTGGACAATAGGAAACTAAGGAATTAGCATAAGTAGCAACTATTTTGTACTATTTAAGTGACAGTTTAAGTACATTTTAGTTTACCAGCTAGGAAGGAAGGAAGGAAGGAAGGAAGAAAGGAAGGGAGGGAGGGAGTGAAGAATGAAAGAAAGAAAGTAAGAAAGAAAGTACATAAGACGTTGTTTTTTTGGTACAGTGGCTCATCTCCTAACAGGATTCAAACCTATGAGACTTAAAGGAATAGTCCACTAGAGAGAAGCTTTCATGCTGTTCATCTTACCTTCATGGAGACTTCCACAGCTTCATTGAGAGTTCTGTCTTTGTGAATTTCAAGTCTTCTTTCACATAATTTCTTTAGTATAGGATGATTGTAGAACACTTTTATCTAGTAAGAAAATATAAACACCTGTATCTAAATAATACTTTAATGTTTTTAAAAGTTCCTATGAACAATAAATGAATAAATGGAACAAACAAATGAAAACATGAATAATGAAGGAATGAAAGAACAATTTATTAGAGGTGGGAAGAAATAAATAAATGAAATAAATGAATAGATAAATAAATAAATAAATAAATGAAGGAAGGAATCATACTTTGCAAGTGTTTTTTTCATCTTCTTTACGTTTTCTCTCCATTTCTTCAGAGACTTTAATCTTTTGTAAGAGTCTCACAATGTGAGCTGGTAATTCATTGAATTCAAGGAATTTACTATTTCTYTGTTGATTCACTTGTCGATACATCAACATGTAGGCATTGGTGGAGCTGTAACAAAATAATAACCTGATGCAGACCCTGACAGATGGGGTCCCTGTGGAATTCCATATGCCTCGATCTATAGGTTTGATTACCATGAGATTTCAAGACAGATGAATGTTTGAATAGTTGGAAGTCTTGATTAGTATTAAGTGCATGCCTAAATAGCTGTGATTACTGTGTAATCTTAGTTCAAGTAGACTGTCCCTTGGTGAGTGGGATTCCTGTGGAATGTCAAATGTATTCCCAGATATATGGGRTTCCTGTGTTTATACCTTGAGTAGATAGATGAGTAGTATCCYCTTGAATACTCTGACCCTCCAAAGCTTCTTTCAATTTCTCCACTACCAATCTGAATATACAAACAAAAATCATTTGAAATTATATACACTTTAACACTTCAAACCATAAGATGTTGGTGTTTCACGATCTTAACATTGTGACTTACCCTTGTGACGGACTGATCATTAAAGCAATACCACTGATCATCTGAGAGTGACCTGATGAAAGGTAAATTAAAATTAGTGACTGTACAATACTTTCTATTTTTTTCATTCTTCTTCTCATAGATCCACATCTGTTATACAGTTGTACAAGCAAACTACAATAGACATTATTTTATGATACTGCTTGTAATGTACATAGTAAACAGTTCTTTTTTCATCCGATAACACAATGGTTTAAAGGAAAAAAGCTTGCAATGAAAACTGTAGCCTAATACTAATAATAAAACAAATAATKAAGTCTTCATTGTGAYGGTAAAATAATATCCATTGGACTTTYAACAGCAAAACAATATAAATAGATCATTATTAATATTATCAAAMAATTATTAACTTATTATTTGGTACTTACTTGATGTAAGCATAGTAGTGACCACCATTAGCGCTCCCAGAGTGAATCATGATGGAGAAGAGTTCATAAACATGAGGACCCTTAACATTACCAGGTACTGACTCACTTTGCAGGGCACCATCTTCTTCCTGGTCATCTGACTGGTCATCGCTTTGGACATCATTAACATTACCAGGTACAGATGGATCCTCATCTTCTGTCAATACACCATTATCAGAATAACCTTCACTTACACCACTGTCTGTCTCTGTACTGCTAGGGGAATCCCCTTTAATGCTYTGGTCRTCATCAGTGGAATTCTGGAATGAAAAATCAAAATCTGTCAAATGCTTGTAGAGGAAACTTATTCAATACTTTGACAATTATCAATGATATTCTAGTTTACAGCTAATTCAGAAAAGGTTGGATACTGAAGATAGTGCATTGCAAAACAAAAATATGTTGTTGAWTACTCAATCGCCTTATAATTAAWAGCAGTTTTGATGGTTTCAGAGTGACAATACCAGCTACAATCTTTTGCAAAATTGTGTGAAACACTGTCKGTGAGTKTGTTACTACAGTCTCCCCTCCCCTTTTACAATGTTGTTCGTCAATGAAATGCTACAAAATCGACAAGGAGGTGAAATGACGTGTGTGAACAACCTTGCAGTGGGGAAAGGGGTGTTCTGTTTATTTTGCATAAAATTGTAGATACAGTCAAGAACTTCAATGGAAAGCAATATTAARTTTAGAATTGTTACTTCATAGTGCAGCTGTARTAGCAACAATGCATTGTGGTATATTTGGCTCAAGGATGAAKTGYGTTTTCTACAAGTACAARATAAACAAAGTTGTGATGTTGTCTTACCTCTTGGTCATCTATGAAGCTGTTCAGATCAAGAAACTGCGGAAAAGTCATCCTGTCATTGAGTTTAATACGATGTAAAGTATTGTAATCAAAAGCAAATCTCTTCAGTTGCAAAGTTAGGAGGTATGGAAAGCTGAGAAACTTGAGGCCCTGAAATATAAATAGAAACCTTTATTTAGGAAAATGACACCGTTCATCCGTCACATTTTGATGAAAATGGCTTAGCACCATGAGTGTGTTTCCAGGAAAAAAATGGCTTAGCACCATGAGTGTGTTTCCAGGAAAAAAATGGCTTAGCACCATTAGTGTGTTTCAAGCAAAACTATAATTACCTTGTGAGCATCGCATTTCTTGTTGCATTTTTCACAGAAATACTGTTGAACAAAAGAGTAACTTATATTTCAATAACAGCATTTGAAGTGCACAAGTCACCATTTAGAAAGTCATTCTTATCCAAACGTACCAAAGCAGAGCAGAGCAGAGCAGAGCAGAGCAGAGCAGAGCAGAGCAGAGCAGAGCAGAGCAGAGCAGAGCAGAGCAGAGCAGAGCAGAGCATCAATTAATCTGACAAGATGAAACTCTACCTGGTTAGTGTCACTCAGGGTCTCCGGGGTAACAAATGCATGTAGTGCTTCTTCCTGCATTGTAACACAACATGATTGCCATCATTAATTAATTGAGTAATTAAGTATTTTATTATGATAATAAATTGTTTACTAGTTCGTTTGGTGCTTGCATAACAACTTTGCAAACCACATGAGTTTATTTTTTGCAGTAAGTACAACTCTAAGATATCATCCCTGTACCATCGCTAGGTACACCCCTAAGATATCACCCCTGTACCATCGCTAGGTACACCCCTAAGATATCACCCCTGTACCATCGCTAGGTACACCCCTAAGATATCATCCCTGTACCATCGCTAGGTACACCCCTAAGATATCATCCCTGTACCATCGCTAGGTACACCCCTAAGATATCATCCCTGTATCATCGCTAGGTACACCCCTAAGATATCATCCCTGTACCATTGCTAGGTACACCCCTAAGATATCATACCATGAAAATAACAGTACTTACAACACTTCCAAATGCTTTGTTTTCACCAAAAGGTCTGATAGCAAGAGGAATGTCCAAATAGGTGTCCGTCCGTGCACTCTCATTACCACACTGAATACAAGTAATATAATATTACATATTCAGCCTTTCACATTCACAATTAAATTGCTGTAGTTACATAGGTTAAATGTCATTGAATACAGGGATCTATCTAGGATTTTTTTGCAGCCCTATAGAGATAATCAATGTTTATCAACAAATTCATTTTTTTGTTAGTGTGTCAAAAATCAGAAAGGCTTTTGCAAGTCGCTTTGTTCTAAAATCCAATTGTCTTCTGGTTGTCAAATGAATAAGGCTTATGTGACATTGAGTATCACCATTCTTCTTACTAATTGTCCCTGTCCTAGCATTATAATTTTAACTCTGATCAAAAGAACAGTTTTATAGAATTAGAATACATTAAAGATATCCAAGAAATGGAAAAAAATCTTGCTCTAAATAAACAATAAAAGACAAAGAATTTTATTTATAATACTTTATAATACT